CACAAACAGAATTAGAACTCATATTGCAGTTTCAATAAACAGAAATTTCAGTGAGTCTGGATTTTGATGGCAAAGTAAAGGAAAGTGACTTTTACAATGTTTTTTCATGACAGTAAAAATGCTATTGTTAATGTAAGATTCACTCTCTTATGAATCGAACTTGAACTCGCTGAAATTATACCGATTTCAATATCTGATTCGAATCGTCCAAAGCAATACTTGCTAAATCCATATTTTCCTAGTTCCACAAGTATTATAATACCACTTAGCCACTCGATCGAAAGCAGCGTGTTTCGATTTAAAAGAATGCTCGCCAGGAGAGGGAAGAGTTTGTCTTCGTTCTGTTAATATTTGTACTGTAAAGACAACGGACAACCGCTGATGAAATTACCGGGCCGTCGTGAAACGCCAGACGTGTCGATTCGTGCTCAATTGGTATCGTTAGAGAGACAATAACGGCGCCTGATTCGTAGCGTTCCTGAAAGTAGCTGCTGCTCGCAGACTACCAGACTGATTTCTTTTTCCACTGCGTTTCGCGAGATCGGTTTATTCGCCTTTCATGTGTTTTCGTTGTAAATTACTGAGATCTGGTCCTCGGATCCCGTCTCATTCTGTAAATAAAACTGCGTGTGTGAGTTGTACAAAAGTGCGAATGCTTATGCGAGTACGTGCTACTCTATCATCATTGACCGTAATTTGTAATAGACGACAGATTTGTAATAAAAATCGCTGTGTGATTTTATTCATCCCCGTACCCCGCTTCAAATTTTTATATGCAACATGAAATATTAATAGAATTTTTTTTATATATTAATTCACTTTGGAAACAATTGCCAGTTATAATATTCCATAAAATGAAATTTTCTTATCGCGTATTTTTTTTTTAATTGCCGCAAATATTCAGTGACATTTAAAATAAAAAATGTGTGCACTTTACCGCTTCTTTTTAAGTGTTTGAAAAAATTTTACTATCTGTTGTGTGATTAAGTTGAGAGATCGCGCTAGCTTCGATCTTCATTTTTTATATCGCTTCGTTACTTTTGTCAAAGCTGATTTTGTTGCGTATGTGAGACTTGGAATTAATTAGTAGTTATTATTTATTATTGCTATTTATCATTATTATTTGTTAAGATTAAACTGTCGGTGAATTGAGAAACGAGATACGAGAGAAAGTGCGAACGCGAGAAAAAGTTACACAAAAAGTTATCGGCCTCTCAGTTCGTCAGACTGCCGGAATTTGATCGATTGGTTATAATGTACAGATAATGATATCTCCACTTCCGTCATACGACGACGAGCTTCTGAATAGCGCTTACGCAAACGTCAGTCTGATCGCCGACAAAGCCTGGACCTTCGATCCCGAGGATCCTTTCCGAAAGTTAAACCATTCTCTCTGGATTCAAGTGAGATGCGCAACAGATACTTTAAAGTATTTCGTATCTTCACAAAAATTCCTTGATATATTTTCGTCACTTATTGTTGCTCGAAAGGACACTTTGAGAAAACGAATTAATATTAGTAAATTCAAACGCAGCTTTATTTAAAAATATCGTACAACGTGTTATTAAAGATAAAAAAAAGATTGTTCAATTATAAAAAGTAACGGAAATACAGTATATACTTGAGAGCTGCTGAAATAAGGGGAAGAATTTATTTTGACATAATGATAAGTTATCGTTAATGTCAGAGTTGCGAAATAACTGCGAAGTACGAGAAAAATAGTGATTATCGTCCGAGACTCGTCCGAGATGTCATCTCCGAATCGCGCTTGGCGAAGTATGGTAATTACGAATACGATGAGCAACACGAGAGAATGTACAGGCCGGACGATGGTAAATCGTCGGGTAGCGGACTTTGCCATTTCCGTCCAGCAACGGAGGCTGTGGAACCGTGGATGCTTCCTGAAGTTCAAGAACACTTCGCCCGGTTAATCTCGCCGAGCCGCACGCGATCACATCGGGAACCGTTAGTTTGCTGCAGCTTCTGTATTATTTTAATATTTTACGAAATTCACTCTGAAACATCTAATGATTATGAGAATATAATATCAGAGAGTAATAGCAGATACAATCCATCGTCATTATTTATCATTAACATTTATTTCAACGACATTCGATTTTTATATTACAGGCATAAAAATACTAAATGCACATTGTATTGATTATGATTGGATTTTAATATCTCGTTAATAGTACGTTCAATTTGCAAAGCTCAGCAATATCAATACTGAAGTGCAACACCTTGAGGAGGGAAAATGAAAACGTTTGCTCGAATTTCCAATCGGATTGGAGCGAAAATTCGAAAAAACGACGTCAGAAGATCGATCTGAAGGAGAGCAGAAAAATTGGATTATATGGCGAGTCGCTTTCGACTCATAAATCAGATGAAAGTGGTGAGCAGTATTTATTTTTAGACATTAGCAACGATATAGATAACAAAGTATAATTATTATCTGCATATCCCTATATAAAAGTAGCAAAAGTAATAATACTTTTAACATTTGTACTCCAGGCTATTTATTTATTAATTACGTACCTGTTTATTAATTATACATACTTATTTATTAATCGTGTCACGTATTATTGATTAATATTCTAATTCTTTGCTAACGTAAATTGTTTTAATAAATTATAAGTGGTCAAAACATAATTAAAAGTGCGATATGTTAGAGTATAGAGAGAAGATTACCATAAGATTCAAATATTTCAAAACAAATCTCTAATTTTAAATTTCAGAGATATACATAATTCCACAAATTGAATTTTTGTTGATGCTTTTATACATTTGATTTCCAGAATCACATGAAAGATCAACCAAAACATTCGCCCGTCATCAGCGATACACCGTGGAGACCATCGCGGAAATACAGCTGCAATCTCGCATCGAGAGCGATGCTGTGCGTGACATATGGAACGTGGGGAAGTTTCAACGGCAGCAACAGCAACAATGTCATCAGCAGAACCAGCAATCACGGATTATTCGGCAGATACAGCCCGCCACCCAGCATCATCAACCCTTCTATTGCACGCTGCAGTATCAGCCTCTGATTCTGAGAGCGCAATATCAGCGGAGACTGTTGCAATCGCCGTCACTACCATCTCCACCGCCACCGATCCTAAGCGCCGAAGTGCCGGAATTCTTCCCCAAATCAATCCCAGTTCCGATAACGTATAGCCTAAACGCCGATAAGGAACGCAAAGCTCGTCAGATACGCTATTTTCCATCGTTCAACGACAGAAACTATCAGAGCGAGCTGTTTCCCTACAATAGGCCGCAGCATGAAACTATATTTCCGGTAAAAAGAATTTTGTCGAAATCTCTCTTGAAACAGATTATGTAAAATCTAAGGCCGCATTCTAATAATTCCGTGATAGTTCAGCGATATTACGATATAACACATGTATGTACATAAAATCGTTGCATATTTACAATCAAAAAGCACATTTAAAATACTTTTACACGCAACTATTTAATAATTAAAAATTAAATTAAATTAAAAATTGATTATACTAAGTTAGAAAAACCAGATAATTATATTACTTTATATGAGAAATTAATACGATTTGATGAACGTTGTTTGATGACGTTTTTCTTAATGTATTTTTTTTAAATGACTTCTGTATTCAATTATCAATAATTTATTTTACAATTTCTCTATGTAGAACACCAGAATGTCCATATTACCTGCCACAGAAACGAACGTGTTCCGATCTTCTCAGGAATGGTTCCAAAGAGTCGCACCACCGATGCAGCTACAGTTAGCGGCTGCTTCGTCTCCTCTGCCGGTTTGCACGTCGTTGCAGCCGATTCACGATGCTACGATCGGCCATCGTCCTCTACAGGTATTTTTTCAATAAAGATAACTCAAAAAATTCCGAAGAATTATAATTATCTTCCAAAAGTTATACTCTTTGTTATACATAATTATTTTAAATTAATTAATCGATGAGAATCTATAACACTACATTTGCATTGTTATCAAAAATTCTTTTGAAAAAATTCCAAAAAATAAAAATAAATATTAAATATTATAAATTACTGTATATAAATAAATTTGAACCTTGGAATCAAGGATCTTGACAAAGCTGCGCGTAACTTGCAGATGTATGAGAAATTTGTGCCATGCACTCAGTCGAGCCCAACGACGCCCATACCTGTATATCAGCGACCGATAGAACTGTACCAGGAACCAACGTCGAAACGGAAGAATCAAGGAGTCGATTTCAACAATCTCATACTACTAACGAAGAATAGCATCAAGACACGACGCGGTCACGCGAAAAGCACCGCTCAATCACCTTTCCTCCCGGACTCCAAACAGAACCTGAGAACTTCCGGTCACAAGATGCAGGTGCAATGGCTCGACAAGGATCACTGCGCGAAGAATGCTGAAGAGATCGTGGCTGTGAACGCATTGGTATCGGAGTTGCGTAGCTTTGAGGAGAAATACGAGTACGATAAAAGAGCCAGCACCAGCTGGAAAACCGTCGCTGCTGCTTCGCAAAGTCAGCAAGGATCGTGCGAAACTGCAAGATCGAAGGACAGAATCTTTGGGAACGAAAGCGCAAGATGCAAGACTTTGGACGCTGAAGGGAAGGATAAAAAGATGAAGCGGCCACTTTATAGAGACGTTCTCGCAAATGCCTCGAGCGGAGTAGTTCCGGAAAATGTCTTTGAGAAGAGGCACGTGAAGTTCTTTTCTTTAATTTCGAAATTTATGTCCATTTAATACTCTCTGCCAACATTTTTCTGATTCTACTTATTCCATTTATTTCGCGAAGATCGTCTAAATTTGAATCAAAATTTTATCACTGCACGCATAAGTATTTTTATGGTTTCTAGATACGACGAACTCGAGCAACAAGCGATGGAACAATACAGAAACTCGGAAGAATCGCTAGCGCTCAAATACCAGGCAATAATCCAAATTTTGATATTAATCTCGCGGCTAAACAATACGCGCAAAAAAATAGACGAATAAAAAAATTAACAAATATCTAAGGATCGTTTAAAATTATAAATTCCTCGAAATCGAAATTTCAAAACTGCATTTCTTCGATTAATTTTTATTCAGTTATATAGAGTAGAATATCACACTACATGCGTACTCGAACTGCAGGAATTGGAGCGCCAAGCGATGGAACAATATAGAAATAGTCGCACAGGGGACGATAAGCGTTCGGTATCTTCCGAGGACCAACATTGTTTTGATGGACAAAGGTGTTCGGGACGCGGACAATGCAGTCCTTCAATAGAATATACAGAAAGAAAAGGTAATGCGAAAATTTAATAACTTCTATCTTTTACAATATATATAATATTTAATGTCCTTCACAAAATTTTTGATATTTTGTGTCAGGTTGTTGCTTTCCACAAATTACACTGCTGAAGCCAAAGGGTAAATCTCTGCCCAATGTTTTTGATGGATCATCGTGCAACGACGGCATTCGGCAATCAGCCGCCGCTTCAAGAAGTCTATCTACGTTGACCGACAGATTGTTGAGGGAATCGAAAAACATATGTAAGGGTGCATCAGGAGATAAAATTGATACTAACGGTGAGCAAAATAAAATGCAGGGGTATACAAAACAATTCAATATATTATAAAACTTTTATCGATGTTCATTTGAAATCACCAATCTTTAAAATCTCAGTTCGAACATCGTTGAAGCGGCGTCTGATACTGATGTCACCCTTCGAGCGCAAGTCAGAGGCCAGACGATTGATGAAGACGACGGACTTGCATGGGATATGCACACTCTCTCGAGCGAAAAAGAACGTCTTCAATTACTATCGGACCTCCGAAATCGCTCAAAACGGCAGCGGTGACGAAAACATAACGATCATACAGTCTCCTAATAGAGAAAGTATGATAGCGTCAACTATGCATTAATAAAAATTTTATATATTATTCTAGAAATTTATTTATTTTACAAAACATTCATATAATAAAAAAAAGTGGAGACAAATTTTCATATTTTAATGTGATATTTTCAGTTTGGTTATCCGGATTCTGGACTACTTGAATCGAATAAATTTCCTTCAGAACAATTAAAAGAGCTTCAAGCTTTTTTGCAGACGTCGATGAATTGGATTTGAAAAATTCTTGGGAATTAAGAAGCAAATTATGATTTGTAATATAATTAATAGTGACATATTGATTAATGTTATAGGTTATAGGTTAAATGAAAATAATAACGACGTAAGGAAAGTTCTCATGATATGTGTATACTGATATACAATCGACAAGATAATTTACATAAAGTTTTTAAAGCTAAATTACTGCTTGTATATAGTGATCAGACACTTATTTCAAAATACAGTAAGCGTATTTGTTCGTATAAGCATATATATTATATATGATATTAATACTATAAAATATAATACTGTAAAGAAGGTAACAATTTCAAACTGGCTATGTTCGACTTCCAAGCGACGAGTAATATAATTACATATATCAAGATCTAAGATCGAATGGGAAGAAAATTATGTGGGCGATATTATACTTTTCAGTCTCTGGATTATTCAGTCAGAAGATTAACTATTTGAGTTATCTGTTATATAAATGGTATAGCACGAATATTAAAGTGTAATAAAATATAGGTATAAAAAATCTTCTAAAAAATCATACTTATAAAGAATATTTCACATTTTTCATAATTATAAATATATATATTCTATTTTTTTACGCACGCACACACGTACACGCGTATATTTATGCCTCTATAAGCGGCGTGTATTACTAGGATAATATGGAAATATATTTTCATGTAATAAAAATTTCTTACGAAAAAATCGTATCGTTTTGACAAAAGAACATACTTACCAGTTATCAAGAAACTCAAATCCAGTCTTTGGTATACTTCTTTCCTCCTCTTCTTGATTCAATTGAGACGATTGAAAACTGCTGTACGAACTGGGTGTCTCTAACAAAGCAGTCGATTCATTTATGTCGCTCGATTTTGTTCGTGACATCACCACCATGGTATTCGATTGACTTTTATCTGTATCAGAATCCCTCACCAAACTCTCCATATCATCTTCGACATTGTTTTGTAACTTCAACAAGGAAGTCTTATTGATAAGTTTGGCAAATATACTGTCGGAGTGTTCGTTGTTGATTCCACTTGTCAATAAGTTGCTGCACTGATCATTCTCAAAAAGATTACTGGTGTAACAATCTGATTGATAACAACCAACTTGGTGTGCGGAGCTGTAGCTATTGTTCAATGAACAAGGATTACTTCTCTGTGCCTTCACAGGACTGGAAAAGTGTGGCGATTCTCCAAAATAGGTCCTCATTGACTTGGATTTCAATTCTTCATTAGAATCTATCGAACTGAGATTCATCTGTGACTGAGTCATAAATGAAAATGGTGCAGAGTGCTCATCTCGCCATCGTAATGTCTGTAATGCAACAAGATGTGTTATTCATCTATTCTTAATGTATAATCTTTCTTAAACATTAATAATACTGCTACACTCACGGAACCAGTTTCGTCTATAACATATTTCATTCCAGTTTGTATACGTAGCTTTGGATACCATTCAGGTAATTCTTTGGTCGATTCTACTTTCTTCAAAGTATATTTCAAGGCTACTTCAGGCTGAATTATAGTTTCATTAATAGCTTGATTACGCTCCGCTGTGCTCAGAGTATGCCACAGCCCTTCATAAGCTTCCTTTGTTGCAGTTATGTCATCGCCAATCCGTTGAGCTATAGGATTTATACTGTAAAAGTATTGTTCCGCTCTCGCGGTAAGAGTGCTAGAACTCATCCTGGTGTACTGAAATTGAACAAATTTACCGGTGCTTAACACTAGCTGTATGATTATTAATAAAATTATTAATAAAATAAAAACTATGATTATGAAAACGCCAAAAAGACTTTTGATATACTTACTGAATCTTTGATAATGATGACATAAACAAGAGCAGAGTTAATTGTATTGACGTAACAATTATCGATTGTTACAGTATCACGTAATGATCATATAAATGCACAACGCAAGTATCTCGAACGTGCACGTAACTATCATTTTTAAAGAACACGTTCACAAAAATACAAATGCTAATTACTAAAATAAACGTGTTTATTGGAGATAATTAAAGAGCACAGAAATCCTAATTTGCCATAACGCAGCTTCAGAAACTTGACACGAAGGTGAAAGTACTGCCATCAAACAGGCAATTGATGAACAGTAAACCACAGTAAACGCTATTTAGTCGCAGTCAATAACTTTGACAATTTTTTTCTGAATCGTACTATTTGCTTTTGGCAATTCTCGACGACCAGCGAAACGGATTCAGAAGAAATCTTTTGGGACACAATGAAACGTTCTTCTGATCGTTGAAAAAATTGGAGGACGCCTAATCGCGTTCTTCAATTTTTTCGATATCTCAATAGCCAAAGAACGCCTAATCACGTTTTCGAAAATTGGAAGACGCAATTTGGTGTCCTTAAATTTTTTTTGACGGTTAGAGATAGAGATTTGGATCATAAGATTTTTATTGTAGAGCTACTTTATTTAATTATAATTACGTTGCATAAATAAAAATTATATGTCTTTATAATTTCATTTTACGCGTAATAATAGTTAACTATATTTACAGTTTATACATATATATAATCTATTTATAATTTCTTACAATACTGTTAAAAATACAAATTAGATTTTGATTTGATTGACTGATGGGTAGGAAAGTGGCAATAAGAGTCTGATGAAAAAAGTAATGTACCTTTATTACTAGTCTCTTTTAAATGGCAAAAATTGCTTAAATTAACAAAGCCAAAATAGTCTTAAGATACTCAGATATGAAACAAATGTAAGACAGAAATAAGATGTCTTGGAATCTGCACAACTCTAAATAACAAAGGAACAAAATCGTTTATCGTGTATTCGTTTTGAACGAAGATTAACAATGCCCAACTGTTATTTGTACATCCGGATTGCGACGGAAATATCCACGTGTTATTCTCTTTTATTATTATACAAATATATACAATATTTTAATATCTGCTTAATCAGTCGCTTATAGATGGTTTTTCTACGAATTCGACAAAACAAACGGCGGTTTACTTAAAGTGTGCAAACTATAAATACACAAATGTGATATATGTACATATTATAATATACATTATAATATATTATATGTATTATAATATACATTATAATATATATCACATATATACATGTAACTATCATTCGTAAATAATAATTTCGTATATATAATCTATATAAAGAATAATAATTATACACACATGTAACAATGTAACAGGAATGATAATAAATAAGAAATTGCGTATGATATCGTGTGTATGAATACTTTATAATGTTTAGATATTACTTATGTCATCTTTTATTATCATTATAAAGACATTTTTCAGGTATAAACGAATATATATGTGCTTTTAGCCGCTTTTATCTCTCTCCTTTTTTTACAAAATGTATATACAACTTAGTAAGTTGCGCTTCAATACTTGGTCAAACAAAAAGTAAAAGCTTCTTTCTTTTATTTCTTCTTTTAACAGAAATTATCGAGTAATTTTTTACGATTCTATCAACGCTGCTCTCATATACATATACATATGAATATGAATATATATATATATATTAATGCAATTTTTTCTGAAAAATTGTCCTGATAAAATAATTCTGATTCGATACATCATATCATAATTCATTGCATATATTGCACATATATATGTATTTCTGTAAAATTCTCACTTCTAAACAGTTTAATTTTGTTTGATTTGCTAATATCAATTATTGATACAAATTATTGATATCAGTAATTGATATTAGTTTAATTAATATCAATTAGATAATCGCACATACAAAATAACCAAAGTATTATTTTTTTACACACAAAATAACGTGTTTGTTTTATATTTTTTATTATCAATATAATTTCTTCATATAGTAAAACGAGAATTAATAGAAATTTAAATTTACTTTTGTGTGTAACTTATTAAAATTAAAACATGTTTATATTGTGTTCACACGTAGAATTTATAAGTTGAAAAAGCGGAATATCTATTTAATATCTTTATTTAAAAAAAATATACAAAATAAGCTATCATTCAAGACTCCTTTTGAACATATATATATTTTATGCTTTAACGCGTTTCAGATTAATAGAGTTTTAGATCTTATTTCATCAAATTTAATATAACTTTAGTAACAAAAATCTGGTGAAAAATACTGCATTGCTCTAAATCTATAAATTATCTATAAATAAATCTATAAACAAACTTTTAAGTTTTAATCAGTCGTCAACTAACTTTCTTTTCCTCTCGTACTAAAGTAAAAAAATTTCACAAATAAACCCTTATATACTTCAAGTATATATGTTAAATATTAAATGTCATTTACGACAGTTTTACTTAAGCTACATTTCAAAAATTTCTTCCGAAATCAAGACAATATATGTCATGGTCAATGGCAACACAGTAATATGCAAATCAATTTGAATAAGAAAATAGTAATCAAAGGGCGGTATATTGCACGTAGAATAGACTGAATGCAAATTCGTCCACAGTTACCTGTTCGACAAATGCTTAAGAGGACCGAGACTTAATATGGAGGTAGCACCAAGCGCACCCAGATTGCAAGTACTCGAATTTCTCGCACCGTCTATCGTAATGATTGGTAAACCGAAGTAACCACCAGTTTGAGCACTTAATTGCGACAAGGGTATATAACTTTGAATGCCTAGGTTCGCCAAGCGATTTAGGACATGCGGCGACTTTAGGTCCACAACCGGTAGAGCTAATTCCGTGCCTCCGTTTTGCGCCACGGTGTCGACTTCCTTATGATAAGTCTGCTTGTGCGTTGTTAGTGCCTGAACCGTGGGATATTGAGCGGGGCAGAGGTTGCACCTTGAAAAAAGTAAATTGCGCATTGATTAGTTTTATATTATATTGCGTATGTCACTATTAAGAAGAAAAAAAAAAGAAAAAAAAAACACAAGTGAGTGACTTTGACTTACCTATGAAGTAGCTTGCTAGTCGTCCGATGACTCGCCATGTGCTGCGTCAACATGTCTTGATTTTGAAAGTTCTTATCGCACACTTGACACGTTAACAATGTTCTAGAAAACGCAAATGTAGAACGCATTCGTTTCACGAATTATTCATTGATTCATAATTGTAGTACGTTAATAAAACATGCAAATAGTGTAGTACAAAGAATTCTTACCTAGGTGGCCGACCACGTCTAACGACTGGCATGGTCTGCGGTGGAGTGTCCTGTGTGAGATCGACGGTCGGTGGTCTCGGTGGTCGTTCAACCTGATCGTTAATCGGCGATTTGTTTTGCTTGTTCTGCGGAACAGCAAATTGCCCTTGCTCCTGCTGCTTTCTTTGTGAACTAGTTGGTATGATAGAAATAGCAGAATTCAGATTGAGCGCTGTAACATTTAAAGGTGGCTGTGAAGGTGGTGGCCTCTGCTGCTGCTGTGAGGGTATCTGTTGCTTGTTTTGTTCACTTGTTTTATTTTTATTTGCAGCTGGAGTAACTGTTATACCTCGAGCCGCGAGTACATTCGCCACCGCCTTGGCGTCGGATTTCTTTCCCCCTGTGCTCGATGTGTTCTGGACTTGAGCTGGGGTGGAACCTTTAGATTAGTAAATATAACACTTTATTTTGCTGTAACGCACCCCTTCTGCGAATGTAATTATATGATAATTTTCTTTGTAATCTATTTGCACAAGTACAACACATGAATGCGGTAAAATAAGCTAACAACAGACAAGCTTGCGAAAAGAAATGTATAAATATAATGAAAATTAAATTTAATAATTGCAAATGTAACAAACTTAAATTTTGTAAAAGCAATATATTAACGCAAAATCATAGAAACTAAGTTTCATAGAAGAGGCACTTTACACATATCGCAGTGCATAAAAAATAAACAGTAATTTAAGCCAATCACAATGAAATATTCTCTCGCTATAAACTTACCTGGTTGCCGAACACTTAGAGTGATTGAATCCGTGAGATGAATCGTAGAATCGTTTCTGTTGGTTTGTTGAGTGGTAGCTCCCTGAACATTTTGAATAACGGGTAGTCCATCGTTTCTCTTTTGTTGCGCTATCACATGGCAATCCGCATCTTCATTTCTATCGGGCAATAGAACGTCCATACGCCTCTGCTTTGCTGCAGGAGTGTTTTGCGGTGGAACTTGCATAGCTTGCTGAATGGGTCTCTTCATGCGCTGACGAGGAACAGAACCGGTAGTTTGTGGTATTCGTGGTGCTCTGAAAGCAAAATTTGTTCGACAAACGTGTTCCGACGCGTGCTCGAGGTTTAGCACGCTTACCGGCTATTTTGAACGACGGTTGCCGATGGATATCGCCCACGTGGAACTTGTTGAGGCAATTGGGGATGCATTTGTGGGGGAGGCGCAGGTATCTGGGGATAGGGACCTGGTCCGTATTGGTACAAATGCGCCATGTGCGGAGGGTAGTGTATACCTTGTGGACCGGGTACTCTGTACATCGGCGGTCGTCCTGGCGGTTGCACAAAGTAATTTGGTCCAGGTATCATCGTATTAGCGCCTGGAGGAAGACTAGGGGGCATTTGCGTTTGTGGAAGAGGCATACGCTGCACTTGCTGGGCCAGTTGTTGTACAGGTGGTGGTAGTTGCTCAAAGTTTACCGGTGATATTTGCATTTGTTGACTCGCAGCGCCTCCCGCCGCCGCCACCGCCGCATTGTACGTCGGTGAATTGGTTTGATGCGGCGATGTCAACGGCGAGTTTCTACTGATTTGTTGCGAGCTACTTGTTGATGTCTCCACTGGTGCGGCAGTGTGAGGTGAATGCGTAGCAGCGTTCAATTGTGGCGACGCTCGGCTCAAGTGCGGCGAATTCTGATTTACGTGTGGCGAACTTTGATTAACATGCGGTGAATTCGCATTCGACAATTGATGAGGCGACAGTTGGCTTACGCTCGGTGAGAGCGGAGTGCCGTGAACTTGCGCTCGGTGCATCGACACCTCCATCGGCGAATAAAAGTTAAGATTGATGCAATCCGGGATATTGCATTGATAGTGACCGACTTTGCTACGATGTTCGTCCAATTGTGTAATGTCCTTGAACTTCTCGTTGCAGTAGCGACACATGTTGACGGTTTCCGCCAGTTTTTCCAGGGGCACGTACTCCGCTGTCTCGCCGGCCGACAGATTGTTCGATAATGACACTTCGTTTGGATTGCGTCTCTGATGTTCAATGAGGAAGCTGTGCAAGAGCGATCCAGCATTCTCCATGTTGCTATCGCCGCCCGTATCCGCCTGTTGTTCGCCATCTTCTTTGTTAGGCTCTTCATTGCTCTTGCTCGACAAGTCTGCGGATAGTTGATTCCAGTTGAAATCTTGTGCCTGCGGTTCGACCGATTCTCTGTTCTTATCTTCGTTGTCGCACAATGAAGCACGTTGCGCCGCATGGTTAGGAAACGTGGAAGACTTTGGAATAATGCTGATGGAAGGATTTTGTTCAAGATTATGTATCATGCTGGAATCGTTGTTTCTATCATCTTCTTCTTCAATAGATGAATTGTCTATCAATTGACTTGTTGATCTAGAGCTGTAAAAAACAAAAAAATATTAAATTTACATCATCAATTATTGCATAATACTATCTGTTTAGCAAGATATGACTAAAGTATTCAATTAACCTCATAAAAATCAAACGATAAACAACATAAAAGTGAATTATATCATTTGTACTTGGAAATTTATTAAAAAAACTGCATCAAATTAATGTTAACATCTGATACTATATTAGCATTCTCATCTTAAATTGATCAGTTGAGCGATTCATCGAGCGTTTGGTACATCCGCACTATCGATTATCAATATCGCTTACCTGGACTGTTCGCCAAGTTTCTTCAAATTTTCAATAGTTTCCCTACATGTCGCTTCCAAAGCATCCGACTCTTCGTGATCCTCGGATTCCGAAAGCCTTTTCTCCGAATTGTCATAGTTATCTGTAGCTTGTATGTCATCAACATTTTGATCTTCTTTCTCAGATGGATTTGCCATATCACTCCCTACACCAGAATCAGCCTCATTAACATCTATGGACGGTCTTTCATTCTCCTCCAGAGGATTGTTGTGCTCATCCGTGTTAAATTTAATATTTTCATAATCATCCTGTAAATAAAATCACTGTAGAAAACACAGAATTTGAACACACAGAAACTTTACTGTCACATTGTCTAACAAAGAGCTCACTTGTTGGTCCACCATCACGTTTTCAAAAGGTTCATTGACTGAGTTTTCTGTTGGCTTGTCATCTCTTCGATCATCTTCTTTAGCACCTGCCACGTCTTTTTGCTGATGGTTTCTGACCAAATTGAAATTAGAATGTACTACGGTGAAGTCCGCTGATTCCGAAGACTTCTTCCTCAGTGTGAGTTTAAGAGATTCAGCTGTGCTCTGCTTCTTCAGAGTTAATTTTAGTGAACCTTTTGTTTCAGGATCCAACCAATATGTGTCGCTCTGCGTACACACCTTTGCCTTTGGACCGGTTACTCTCTTGAGAACAATACGAGGTTTCCTCAAGTGAGTATTTATATGAACTCGCAGCTGCTTTTTCGTAGGGAATTGTTGGCCACAAATGCCGCAATCCAGCAGCAATTGTTGACCGCTCAAGCTGTCGTCCAGCGAGTTGGGAGTGCCTGCACGCTCGTCTGAAACATAACGCATGGATATCATAATTACATCTCTTTCGCCGAGGTTACATTTTGCCGTATCGCGCGCATGCATTACACACGCGCACAGCAACGTATAGTACGTGTAAAGTTTTGTTTTGTGCGCAGAAGTTACATCGTTATACGAAGGAGGGGAGAGGAGAGATGGATGTATGGAAAAGAGACGGAGACCAAGCAACAGCACACCGAGATGGCACACCGAGATGGCACACCGATGAAGATTGATCGTTTGATGATGGCTTGGTATAAACGCACATGCTTACAGTTCGGCGAGTAATCTGCGATTTGCCGCGCTTTTCTTCTTGCCGCTCAAAACATTAATGCTGCCTTTCGCGACAGTGTCACTCGATTCGACAGTTCTGCGCGAATGTGCATTCGTCGCACATGTTACACACGAGAGAGACAAAGAGATGCACGTTACATCAGCGGCGTAGCAACTGGCTGCATAATGTTTACATGCGGATACGTAAACAAATCGATTTGCGCGCGTTTTTGCCTAATCGTCTGGCGACGGTATCGCGAATACGGTCGCGCAAAATGGTCGGTGCCAGGGATAATTGCCTCTCACTTTCGCCGAGAATTGAAAACACGACTCGCCAATCGATATGCGGCTAAAGCGCGCACCGTATTGGCCGGTTTCGTATCGGCGCGCAATTTCCCGCCACCGATTGGTCCAGCGCAGCGTTTTCTCACATGCAATGTTCCCAACCATGACATCTTCCCACTCATGCGCCACCAACACCATCTCCGTCCGCATGCGTAACGCGCACAGTTGACCACGTGATCGCTATACAGGTTCGTGCTTAGATACGATTATGATCAATTTCTTTTTATAGCATATTATTAATTCATTCTTTTTATGACTTGGAAAGAGTAATGTCAATAATATATTATAAGAAGAAAATGCTATTGATACAACTTAAGCAATACAAATAGTGACAATTAATTTTTGTATGGACCAAGCACAGGGTCCAGAGCATCTAAGCACGTATCTATCAGAGCGGTCACGTGATCAGTTGTGTACATTTCACCAAGAAGAAACGGATGACAAAAAACGTATAGAGCACCCTGTCACTAAAAAAATCTCAAGTCTCTTAAAAGCGAATCTTATCTGATCGTGTTAACTTTTGTCACTATAATTGATTGACTTTCATCGCTTATCATTGACAAAACACTATAATCTTGATTTTTTCGTATGAATATTTCACCTTAAATCATTTCAAGAGTACGCTTTTAAGAGCATTTTTGTTAGTGACGAGACATTTGTACTGTACTCCATAATGAAGAACGCTACTTGACAATGTCAAGCTTATTAATAAAATGAGAAAGTATTCCCTGTCAAACAAGATGTAAGTTAAAAGTGTGAGTTGAAACGAAACATTACACGACACGGCATTATCAGGCGAAGCGATTACGCGCGGTTCTTGACGCGCGCCACGTGTTTACAAATTCCTAACCTACAGCCAACACTAACTCGTACAGTCAACATCAGAATAATCAAGAGTTTTTTTTTATTTCACAAAAAGCTTTCGCGCGTTTACTTCTATATGAGCCGAGGATTACTAAGATGATATATCATGTAATGATTTTGTATTTGTATGATAGAAGCAGAGGTATGTCAATATTTTGATAGCTATTGTCAACTTGTATCGAGGAACAATACTCTGAAAGACTTGCGAAAGAAAAAAATTGTTACTGAAAAAGCGCATGAATAATTGCACAATCAGATACTATAGTTGTGGTATTGTTGGTAGTTAGTTATAATTTATTAGATCACATGTATAGAAGAGGTTTTATAAAACCCCTTTTATAGTTAAAATATATAGTGTAGCAATAAAACAGAAATAGACCCTTTGGTGGCAAACAATAGAGTAGAGATATTACACTGCCAAATTAATATCCATAACTGTTTAATATAAAATTGTTTTATAATGTACTTTTTAAAATCACGTATATATTAAACTTTATAAAATAACTTGCGTATTAAACTTTCATAAATATTGATTTGGCAATGTAACATTTTTACTTCTATCGCTATGCTATGTATAACAAGAAATATTTAAAAACTTAAATAAGAAATATATATATATATATAAAGAAATAAACACAAGATAGCGTGTATAATCTTAACATAGGCATAAAAGAAATACTGACCACTCTTTTCATATATCAACAGTAAAAACATTAAAAGAATTCGAGATGAGAAATATTAAATGGCAATATTAAAAATACAGTAATGCATCGGATATAATGTAACTTTAAATCTGGCTCTGTGAAGAGCATTTTAATAAAGCATTTTAACAAAGCATTTTAATACAGAAATTAGAACATTGAAAAATTATATTAATGATATTGATAATACTGCGTCAGACAACATTTTTCTATAATTTATACACCAAACAAATTTCTGTAAAATTACCAACATCTATACGATTCAAAACGATAACGATATATGTAACTAGAGAGAATGTCAATATATCTATAAACAAAGAAACATTTAAATTATCTTTTACCAAAGATCTTTTTTAAGAATTGTACAATTTGTGACATGAAAGAAAGATTTTATATCAACACGTATTCGTTGTGAATATAGTAATCACATTTTGTAGAATTAACATTGGTCTATGTTACAGCTGTTTATTGCTATACAGAGACACGTACCAAAATTTTGTAATAGCGTCACCCTGCCGTCCTTACAGATCTTATTTTGTGCGGAAAATTTAAATTCCTCAAAATCCAACGGACTGTTCATTTCCAATCTGCGAACAAATAAACAATACCCGAGGTTTTATCGAGAGATGCCGGCGAAAAAAAATTCACTCGTCAACATGGAATATTCAATCCCGTTATATCCAATCCACGCAGGTATATACACAAATAATCATCTCGCATCTTACGCAAGATTTAACGCGAATTATTACAATTGTCCATTCATCTTTTTTTGGCGCATAAATTATATTTGCACTTTGCGACGTATTTTACTTACAGGCATTGTTATCAATAGTGCAGATTGTCATGAGGTCATCAACATCGGCTAATCCTAATTCGAACAACTTTGTCGAACACTAATTGGCAGTATGAATATTGTACTGCCACTGATTGTTAGCAAGCACCAATATGCACGTACCACCACCGGACAGTGGAAATTCCGTGATCTTTCTCGATCAGGACTCTGATCTTGCTCAATTCGAGAGACGGGCGCTCTTTCGGTGGTCACGCGATCAATTTACACGTGCGAAGCATAACAGAAGGACTCGAGAACTGTACGCAAACACGCCGTTTTGTCAAAACGTTTAACGAATCGGTAAACGCACTGTTCAACCGTAGGTAAAGTCAATTAAACGCGCGCTTAGTCGAATCGTCTTGGCGCGCTGAGCGGCGTCGGTGACAGGCGGGAGAATCAGCTTCTTTTCCCGTGTCGCGAGTTAAAGCGACAGCGATCCTTAATCCGCGTTAAATCAAAATGGTAAAATTGCGCCGCAAAGTAGTCGATCCTTCGCGTCGTCGATTCCATTCGCGTGTTCACATGCTTGTCTCAGGAGACTTTTTCTTACATATAATTAAACATGAAAGACTTAATGTATTATATGATCACTGTACTTCCGTGTATAATACACTTCTTATTCGCTATGAGCAAAACAGTGAGATGCGCAATCAGGCGGTGGCCGGCCACTGCGGTCCGTCGTCCTACTAGTCGTGTGTCCAGTCTGAACTTATTATTAGTACGTAGTATATCGGGCTGTCAACATGGCGGCGACGAGAACACGGATGAGCGTACAGGAAACGAGCGGGCTAGTGAGTGAGTGAGCGAGCGAGCGAGCGCGCGCGAACGAACGACAGGATAATCAACTCGGTGTGAATCGTGCCGAACTGTTGAGGTACGTTCAACGACGAGTTCAGAATGTTCAGATATGTTGTTTTGTAAAGGCGCGCGCGCGCGCGCGCTCGTGGGGCAGAGTGCGCCGCCTGTTGTTGCAGACGGCGGGATTATTGCTCCCTTCTCTATGCTGCTTTCCCCTTCTCTTTCTCTTGTTCTCTTGTACCCTCCACTGCTCCTCGTCCCTCTCCCTTTCCATCCTGCCTACTAGCCGCTCTCACCGTCTCTCTTTTGTCAGCAGTTGGAGGATTCACTTCTGCTGTATACTTGTATACGTGTATGTATACCGACACACGCGTATCGCGTGTATGCTTCTCACACTGAATCAACAACACGCTTCTGCGTGTATACAAGTATACAAAGATATTGCAAATAGGCAGGCGAATAGGCGACAGCGAGATGAGAATGAAGCGGAGGGAGAAGAACAACGAGAGAAAACGGTTGTGGAAGGAGCTCGAATTGAAATTAAGTCAACCTAACGTGCGGTCAAGTGCAAGTGGGGAACCAATGAGCAGCAGCTGGTCGTGACGCAGGCGCACCGGTAAACTATTCCATATCCTCCATCCCTTTCCTGCGCATTGTCGCTTTTCCTATTATTCTCTCTTTCTTTCATCTTCATCGTTCCCTTTAAAAATTTCCGCTCGCGTCTTCTACCCCCGTCCGTCTCTCTTTCTCTTTCTCGCTCACACTCGCTTGTCCAAATACCATAGCTTTGAAAACCCTTATACCGTGCAATTCTCTCCAGGGGAATCGTCAACGCTAGCTATCCAATTGCCACCCGTCATCCATCGTACTTAAAAGTTGCTGCACCACTGACAACTTATATTCATAATCTCGTGACGGTTCTATTTCCGTGGGAATTCAAGTGGCGGCAGTACTACTTCCTTCCTTGACATAATACCAATTACAACCATCGCTTCTATTCTTGGTCTGTGATGCCGTATACAAAAATAATACGACGTTTCATATTTTGCGTTTTTCTATTATTCTCTAGCAATCGGCTTATTTTTCAAAAGATTATTGTTTTAATAATTTTATGCTAATAATTTTCTTTGCTTTTCTCTCTCAACATTCCGATCTAAAATATTTTTCAGAGTTAGCAAAGTTATGATATTATATAAAAATATTTCGATACACGTATAGATTTTCCTCAGTGATGCATATTATGAAAAAAATTATGTAACAACAGTCACGCAATAATAGACAAATTATAAAAGTTCATGATAAATATTTAAAGTCAGAAGGGAAAAAATAAATACAATTTTGTATGATACAATGTGACAGTCCTGCTGATTGAAAACCCTTTGACCTCGTACATGCAAAAAGAGGTTAAACATCCAGGTTCGTCACTCACCGACGGCGTCTTCCTGGTACGCGTGGTTGAATCCAAATAAACGACATTTGGTGTTTGTGTATGTATATGCTGGGAGGGTGAGCGAGTGGTGCTTTCTAAACGCGTAGTTTTTAAGGAAAATCTATAATGCGTAGATGATATAATCGCATTTCGAATAACGGTTTTATCTATGAAGTTAACGCGAGCGAGGCGTGGCTGGTAATGGTTGGAGGTCGATGACGAATATAGTAGGGGAACTTAACGGAACATGTCGAAAACGGCCGAATCTGCCGTCTATTGATCTCTGTCCGAGATATCCAAATAGCACGTCGGGGTGTATACTTAGCCCTCACTGAGGAAACTCTATTTGATTTGGTAGATTTAAAAAAAACGTAGAATACTGATTTACCCGAATTCATTAATATATCGAAGAAAAAATGGATTTTTCACATCAATTACTGGAGCGAGGATATTTGTATAATCATAGTTATCCAGCTCGAAAATAATTCTTGTTAATCAAGTGAAAGCACTGTCTATGAGGTGAGTAAACTCCGATGACTCATTATTCACAGTGAATAGAAGAATTGAGAAATAAAATCCAGGCTGAGGGTTGTTGCCACGCTCCGTTTGTTGTCTGCAATCTGCACATACAAAAGTCGTGTCACTTATTGAGTTTTGAAAGTTATGGCAACAAAAAATTAGCATATTATTTTGCTGCCTCAGTAAGTTAATATAAGAAGTTAATACAGGAAGTTAAGGTCAGGAAGCTAATGAAAACAGTATAATCAGCAAAGCCCATTATTGTACCGACCCATTGTTGTGGTCTGCGTTGTAAAGCTATAAACATATGATTAAGGGGTCAAATATGCACCCGATATATTTATATATATATATATATATATTACCGGTATTCATTTCACAGAATACTTGACTATCGATCCCGCCCATCTCCCACCCCGCCACATAGCCGTCCTACGGTTAACAGAAACTTCGTACTAGTATGCGCAATAGCCACGTTAGTTTGCGCAGAAAGGGTAATCCTCTTTATGGAGCAGGCAAGATTGCCGCGATATAGTAGTAGCAGCGTAACTTGAGTACGGAAATGGCGGGAGTGAGAGGGGAGAAAGAAGATTGAGAATGAGAGACGAAGAGATAAAAAGTACTGTGACGTACAGTGATTTACCAATCCCCTCTATTGTCTCCCCTCAAGCACAATTTCACCACGAGTTGCGCACGACTTTCTAAGCTTGATTCCCTCCTGATGAGTTTTGTTCAAGTTACGAATAGCCTTGGACAGCGAGGAAGAGGAGTGATGAAAAAAACTTCAAGTCTGACGACGCCTCATTAAGTCTCGCGAGATTGCATCTTGCAAAGTTTGTTCAAAGTTATTGTAAAAGAACATTACAATTTCGGTCGTATAAATTCATGATCTCCTCTTCTCTTCCGCCACCTGCTTATTTATTCTATTATTATTAAATTATATTATAAAAAGAATTAATGTAGTAGATTAAATGTGTAATACATAATGAGATAATAAATATTTACATTTCTCATATAATTATAGTAGATTCTAATTCATATATGCATATGTTATTAACAAGTGAATATTAATGCGATCATTAACAGGAGTAACAAACAATACCTCGAGACCCGGGATTCGGACTGCAAGCTGGTTAAAATCGATTGAGCTTTCCTCCTTGCCCTGTTTATCAGGACAGAATATTTTTCGTCGCTAAACTGTTCATCCAATATTTATTTCATTATAAAACTGTGAAAAATTTTAATAAATATTAATTTACAGCAAAAACGAGAATAATATTACAACTAAAAAATTACTAATTATATTAAAATTATATATCTACCATTCACGTAGAGAATGTGATATATCGCATCCTAAAATAATCTCGTGAGAGAATGCCTTTTAGCATAATAATGAAATATATAGCTAGTCCATGCAGGCATGGAATGTAATAACCCAGTATAAACCAACATTACTCAACCGTGACGTGAGTTAATGCGTCTGTAGAGAGAGAGCGCAATAAAAAAATAACGCTTCTCCTCTTCCACCTTTCATCCTGCCACCCCTGTCATAAAAGGGTAGAGACGAAATAGGACTGGAATTTTCCACGTTCGCACTGCGCTTGTGTTGCTGGTCAGTCGATTGCTGCTGTTGCTGGCGCGCTTGCTTGCCTTCACCCCACATGATGGAACAGCAGAAACGGCGCACTCGACAGAGAGAGAATACTTGGAAACGCAGTGGAGGGGACACCCTCATCCACTTCCCCGTCTGTCCCGTATCTCTCCCCTTTCTCCTCCTCTCTCTCTTCCTGTGTCTACTCCACAGATGTCTATCCGCATCTACCTAGAAGTGCTTCTACACATTCACCAAACCAATGAATGCGTGGTTTGCTTTGAGTCGATCCCTCCATTTGCACTCCTCTCTCACCCATACTCACACAATGATGTCCTTCGAATACCTTTGTGCTTCCTTTGTATACAATCATATGGTAATTCTTCCTCGTTTTTTTTTGTTTTATTGGCGTGCAGCTATAAAAAGACAGGATGGTATCTATTAATAGGCGTTCTCTCACAGTATAAGAATTATTATTACTCATTTATTTCCTGAAAAAAATTTCTCAATGATAAACCTTCATAAAAATAAAAAATTTAATTATATTGCGAATGTCAAAAATTTTTCTCGAACGTTAATTACTTTTCAAAATAAAAAAAATGAATAACTTTACTTATCATAAATAAAGTTAGATTGCAATAAAATAATAATAAATTATAACTTGATAAAATTCTGTTTTCTCTACGTAGTTTTTTTACGAGACAAAGTTAATATTTAAAAATCGATATAGAATGTTTCTTCTCTAAAATAAATAATTGTTTTTATATAATTTTCATGTTTTTTTATTTTTTATGCTTGTACGAGAGCGATCCGTTATTCGAAGAGCAATTAACGTTCTAAGGGTAGTTGATAGTTAATTAGCAATGCATATTTTCTCATGGTGCAGTTAATTCATAATTTGACCTCGTTTGTTGACCTCACTGGTTGCTAGGCACCAACACAGCATGGAGAAGCATAGGAGGAGAGGGTTTAGCTTTAGCGACGTTGCCAAATTGCTCACGGACGGACGAACCAACCAACTAACCAACCAACCAACCCACCAACCAGCCAGCCATCTGGCAGTTCAATGCATTGAAAATTCCTGACATCGTGAACGGGACAGTTGGTCAATTATACGTAGAATCGGCATGATTAATCGCTCAATTGTCATTGAAATATTGAAGTCGATTTTTTGTCTCATATGCAACTTCTATGCATCTTTTCCTGTATAAATAATAATAATTATTATTATTATTGAAATGCATAATACTTTTACTTATAAATATATTAGTATATTTAAGACATTCAATATATTAGCAATTATGAAAACTTGAACTGAAGAAAAACTATGATGATTGTGTTTGTGACAAATGCACATAAAAATTTACATTTTTTACTTCTTAAAAAAATTTGATTAAATAATAAACTTTTGTTACCTTCTAACCTTTTTCTTTTTTTTTTTTGTTTCTTTTTAATGTATATTTATTATTATTTAAATGTATATGTATTATTTTGTTTTCAGTTTAAAAAACGTAGGTATATACAGATAAGAAAAGCAAAATTTTATATTTAAAGATAATAGGTTTTATGATTGGTTTTTGTGAATATTTATTTGCTTAAGTTAAATTAAGAAAACTATGAATAACATCATGCAATATGAGTCAGCAAACCTAACTGAAAAAGTATTGAATATTATATCTATATATATAAAATGTTAACGTTTAACTGTATTCTGTGTAGATTATTTTTATTCCGTGTGAAATATAGAAAATGTTGGCCCAATTCTTACTAATATATATATAAAATGTTAAGGCATATATGAGAATAAGTAAACAAGTAGAACATTTAAAAAATCAAATTCTTAAAAAAAAATCTCTACTTTTTGACTTTTTTACATTACATTTTAAAATAAGGAAGTAGTTATACATGTTAAATGATACTTACGTAATATTGTGAGATAATTTTTAAATTCTAAATTTCGTATTTGGATTAGTTCATGCTTGGTTTGTGTGATCTTTTTTCATTTTGAAGACACAGACCCAAGGGATAAATGAAAAAATACCCCTCTTTCCTATATTTTTTTGCATTATGTCACTCGGTCACTATTCTTCTTGATCCTAAAAATTATTATTATTAAAATACAGAAATTCATGGAATTTTGTGAACTCTACTAATTGCATAATTTGTAATATATTAAGAAAAAAAATCATACACCCTAAATAACACAAAACATGCTGGAATTATCTTAAACATATCCTGATGTTGGAAAAAATGTCTCAAGACATTCTGTGAATCTGACGTTTTTTTGTCGTTCTAATTACTAATCATAATCGGTTACTTTAATGACATAACAACGTCAGATAATGACTGCCTGCTACTTGAGGCGTAAATCTGTGTAATATTTTTCTTCTATTATGTTATATTATTTATTTTTAGAAATCTTATTTTTATCTAAATATCTAACAAGTCGTAAAATAAAAAAGTTATATGCGATAGAATAATATAGAAGCAAGAACTCTTTACTTGAATCATTTTTTATGGAAATAGCCATGTTGAAATTAAAATCGTTCATCTTTTATTTTATAACCTTTAATAAGAAACTTTTTCTAAACATTGTTTGATTTAAATTCAATAAAAATTCAGTAAATTCAGATAAAGACATATATTAAACTATATTAAACTTTTAATGAATATTTCAAATAGCTTAACGATTTTCGCACAAGACCAATTAAAAGTGCGTCCTCAAAAAATTAGTTTGCAAAATTGCATCAATCTTGAAGTGTCCTTGAAAAAAAAAATTTGAGAAATATTTGAAAAATCTAACTAACTTACCAAGATAGATTGGAATATGTCGAAAAGCTACATTGCCAATTATTGTGCATAAATAATTATTGTACACAGCTCCAAAGTGTTACCAACCGGAAATTGAAACGAAATTATCAACGTTTCTCGTAGCTTGCTGTGCTTCCATCTAAACTACGCTTCTACAATTAAATGGTCTCGTATTTATAGATCTGTCGATACTATCATCGTCAAATCGAATTACCAACAACAATCAGATATCGTTGACTTCTGTCTCGTTTCGGTGCAATGTAATTTGATTCAAAAACATACTATTTTTCCATTAATTAAATTGTAAACCTTGTGACATTCTATCGTAGATTGAGTGATATACTTCAGGAAAAGAATTTTCGTATTTTGCAAATTGGTTAAAGCTGTGTGCATTGTTTTGTAAACATTGCGAGCTCTTAAGAGTTTTGTTGTAACATGGCAAAATAGTTCAAAAGTAATAATTTTGTTAAACACAACTTTCACGATGTATGCATTTTAACGTTTCTTACATATCTTTTTATCGAATATAAGCTGAATCCAAAAATATAAACAGATATAAAAATTTTTCTAGCCTTTGTTTTGGCTAATAAATGTGATGTGCAAGAATATAAGTATAACATTTCTCATAGAATTGTTATCTAATGATGAGAATAACATATTTGTGTTGTTAAGAAAATTTGGTGACAGTTTGAAAGTCTGAAATTACATTCGAGGTTAATAGCGAATGTTTGTTATCAAGCCAGTAAAATGTTTGGATCACTACGTAGCAAATTCCAGACAGTGCAAGAAGGTATATCTGCTAGGTAAAACACTTTGTATATACATTTGATATATTGCCTGCTTTTATCTTTATTATTATTTTCTATGTATATTTGATATAGGTAATAAAAAAGTGACAAGTCTCTTGGAAACTGTATATAGAACTAGATTAAAGATAGCAATCTAAATAGTAAAAATATTATTTTGAATTGTTATTTCAGTATTCGGGGATTGTCTACTACTGAGCATCCAAAAAGCAAAAAATTAACCAATGTACGGAACGTAAATTATAATGCTGGTGCAGACATATTGCATCGTTTCCAGTTACAATGGAATGAACTTCATGAACTTGCTGAAGAAAATGCAGGGAAAGCTCAGCAAGCAGATACATTGATATCTTCTATTTATGAGAAGCTGCAACATGAATGGAATAATGTCACATGTTTGAACAGCACTCTAGCTTACATTCCAAAAATTAATAATGCAATTCAAGATCTTATGGATCAGATAGGTAACTTGGTTTCAGAGATACATATATCTAAATCAAATAACAAATTTTTTCAAACCATTATTATGTTTAAGGCAATTTGCAAGAAATGTTTGAGGAAGTTGAAGGAGCTTTATATCAATTGGAAGATCTAAATGAGATGCTAGATTTACAAAGTAGACAACTGGATCATAGATTTCAATTGGCTTTATACAAAGAGAAGAAATTGATAGAATTAAATAATTTCAAAGGTATATATTATATATTTTGTATTCAAAATTTTATAATGATTTACTTTATATTAATATTTTAGCAAAATTGGCTAGTGACCACATTGAGAGAGTCTCCCAACATGAATTAAACCAACAAAAAAAGTTGAAAGAACGTCGGGAAACCTTTGAAGAAGCTTTTAAAGAAGATCTTGAAGAATATAAAGCAACTGGATCGATACCAAGTATGCATTGTGCATCTATTTTATTATATATATGTATATATGAATATAATATATTGATAGATTTATCTCTTTCAAATTTAGAGTTACCAGTCTCTTCACAAGGGCCATCTTTGGACGAGATAGTGTTAGACATAGATTCGAAAACATTTGATGAGTTTTTGGAAAATTAAAAGCAGAAGAATCAAGGCCCCTCATTTTAAAATGTGTGTGTATGTGATGGAATGTAATTTTCACCTGCATTTCTTACAATTAGATATTAGGGCTGTGACTCAGACAATTCAAGTTTTTTAATATAAAAGAATTTGTAAAAATAGTGAAAAAATTTTGAGCTGAATTCTTCGAAAGGTTTGCATAATATATCAAATGTCTAGACTTTAATAAAACATTATAATCCTTATAGATATAGGTATATTTAGTTATTATATTTTGTAACATTCAACATTTTAATTAAAAAGTAATTTGATTTTTATTCTATAAATAATATTGAGTAAATGTATATATGTATAAGATAAAATATTATATTTTTTATTAAATTACTTGTATCACAATGAAATAAATCAACATATTAATTGTAAATAAAAAATCTTTTATGTCGAATGTAATATAATTTATGTATTAAAAAAACAAGTTTTTTTTTTCTTACCCTATTGTCCTGCACAAATAGTGTGTTTGCTCAAATAAACTTTGACTTATAAATATGTAATGAGCTTTTATTTAATATTAATAATATTAATTTGTGCTGAAACTAATGTTTTAAAAATAGGTACTTGCATATAGAAAAATATAATCAATTTAAATTTTATTTTACTTAACAATTATTCAATAAAATAAATAACGTAAATTTCAATTAAAAATTATTAGAGGAATATATTCAACAAGAAATACCAGAAAATATATTGAGATTTGGTCCAAATCTTTACTAACATCTGACTGCGTCTGACTAATATCATAACGTCATACCGTGGAAACCGTGGTATGGTATCCGGCGTAAACTAGTATTTTAATTCACAAATATGAATTAAAAAGTAAATTAGAAAAAAAATTCTATCTGCCATTCGCAGAAAAGTTAACTTAAACTGTGAATAATCGAGGTATGCAATTATTGTAGTATAACAATTAGAATTGTATTTATTATTTCGGTACAATTTTTGAGGTTATTTGTACTGCAAAATTGTATACCACAATATCGTATCTGGTAATCACATTGTAATTTAAATGATGTATTTTCAGCACAAGCGAGAATTGTTATATTTGGTGAACAAATAATAATTTGTGCACAATGGATCCACACTTTCTGAAAAGGAGAAGGAGAGAACAATTATACGACAAGCTGCACAGAGGCTTTGTAAATACTTGCATTGGTATTACAGCGGCTGCTTCTCTTTATATCGGTTATAAAGCATACGAATATTTCCGATATATACGACCTCTGCAATTGGCGCAGAATCAACTGGTCGAGAAAGAACTGCTACTCGAAGGAAGAAGTATAGAAGAATCTTCGAATGTAGAATTGTCAACATAGGACAGATGTTACTCAGTTGACATGTATAAGTAGTCTTTTTGATATATATAAAAGAAAAAAAATTGAATCAGATAATGTACTTTGAGAATCAGAATGGTATTCAAATTGTAAATAACTGCAGTGTATATTGTGTTATACCCATTATATAATAAATACAAGAATCAGAGTTATGCTGATCTATAAATAAGCCTAATATAAACTTCATTGTTATAGCTATAAATTTTCTTTGTTATGAATTGATGCTAGCATGGAAATAAAATATATGATTTTCAAAATTATCAGACATGTAAGTAACCATAAAAACTTTTTAAAGAAAAAAGAAAATCAATTTATGAACAATTGCATAATAATATATATGTACCAAAAAGGAAAGTTTAAAGTACTATATAAAAGCATCACCACAATTAATTGACTCATAATTAATTACATCTATTTTATTCAAGAAATTTTAATCTTCATTACTTTTACCCTTGCTTCACCAATGTACAATAATAATTTTATTTTATGCCAGCAGAGTTTATTTCTCTATTGTATAAAAAGTATATTGTGTTACATTTGGCCCTGAGTTATTTCGAAACTTCGTCGAAATATTGATGCAAAATTTTGAACCTGCAATTTGTAGCCTGAATTTTGACATTCACAACTTATATTAGCCAAGGAGCAGTTGCACCAATTAATGTTAATCAATGTTGGATTTTATTACTATATCAACATTATGAGTAAAAGATCGATCAGTTTTTTAAATTTAAGAACCATAAAAGTACAAAATAAAAACTTTGATTGACCTGATGTATATTATTTATATTATAAAGTATATTAATCATTTAATAATATGTGGAAGAGAATAATAGACTATTTTCTAAGTTAGAGTTAGCGAGCTTACACTGTTGGTGCAACTGAACCTAAAACAAAATTTTATAAAGTGCACTGAATAGCTTCCATTATATATAACTCTACTTTCTACCAATATAGACATTAATAGAGGACAAACTTAGTGAAGTCTTTGCATTATATTGTTTTCTCTGCTAAAATTCTCTTACAATATACAAAAAGACATCTACTATTATTATGTTTGTATAAAATGCTTAGCAAATCACCGTTTAATTTAAACCTGATAAAACCTACTAAATTTAGAATACATTTCGTAGCTGCCTTTGTTTCTACAATATCGCAATATAAAATTAATCTTACAATTCGAGATATAAAAACAGCAACTTGTCTTGTCATCTTCAGAATTGACGTTTACGTGAATTTGTAATGTAATAAATATATTTACATTGAAATTCGAAGGTATGTGTTGGTAATATATTAATGGCTATGGTCCACTTGTGATGCTGCAAATGCTTCGAAACGTTCTTCCTTTTTTTCTCTCTTCATTGAAAGAAAAGAGAAAAAGAATGCTTCGAAGCATTTGTAGCGTCAAGTGGACCATAAGCCAATGTGATGCACTATAAAAACTTGTGATATCAGCTTGTCTTGTTTTATGCCATTTACATCACAAAAGACGTTTAACAATTGATAATTAAGAATAAAAATAGTGATATCATTTCTCTACTTGTATCGTTGAATGATGGAAATTTTTTATGGGATAAGATGATCATTTCACTTTCATTAAACTAAAAATTAATTTTTAATGGAAGGATAATTTGCAGCAACAACTGAGATCTCGTATTATAAAATATGTATATTAAATAAACATTTTATGTTTACTATTTACACTTATGTCAATCGATCGAGTATACATCTTACATTTACAAAAACACGTACGAAAGTACAAATGACAAGCATGGGCTTTTTGCACGTCAAAATGATCGATCGTAAACATCACCTTTCTCGTGCTTAATGCCTAAAAAGACAAGAAAATGCCAAATTTTCAATAAGATAATAGCTTTGCAACGTTACAGAAGGCAATGCGTTTGTTGTACACCACTCAGTAGTGTTTACTCTCGAGTACAAAATACAGCATGCATTTTCGTTTTATGTACAATATGTGTTCTCTGCTGCGTAATGGACATGATTTGTACTCTGATCTTCCACAGTTCTAATTATACCGCTTTTCACAAAATAGTGCACTTTGGAAAAACATTTATAGAACTGTATGAATATACAGAATGTCTGAAAAGTGCCGGAATCTCTTAATATTTCGGAAATGCTTGATTTAAAATATTATGGGGTTCCGACATTTTTCAGACACCCTGCATATCAAATAAAATCCTTCCTGTCACGAACATTCTATCATTATGTACATATTTGAACATCAGTCGGTGTAAGTTCTGTTTTGCAATTACACGCTATAATCGAATAAATTCCATGTTATTGCGGTATTGTTCTCTTGAGAACAATTGTTTTCACCTGTAAATTTGCGTAAGAACTAAACATGCATTTAAAAATATAATTCTAAAGAATACAATACAGTTATATTAGACTTATTTACATCTGTAGTAAATCAATCGATAAATTATATTAAAAATCAAATTATAAATAACGTACGGACGATGTTTTTGAATAACGCAATTAAATGTTGAAGAATAAAGAATTTTTATGCGAAATCCCCGAGTTTTTTGCTTTCGAAGTTTATTATTCATGAACATCCTCCATACGTGTAGTATACAAAGTATCCTCATTGTAAATAAAAGTACCAATTAATAGCTTACACGGACTGAGTCTTTTTCTTCATATTCATATTCGTCATACGTTCTAAATTAAAATGAATATTGACCACCACTTCATCATGTTTCATTTATGAAAGTAAATTGTACAATTTTCTAAAACTAATTAAGGAGCCACAGATGTCGAAAGTCTGACGGAATATTTCGGCACGAGAATTCCCCGTAGCATTCGTCGCATTCGAACGTTTCCATCTATCCAGGAGTTTTACAATCTTACGTTCAAACAAATACTTGCACAAACCCTGTAGCCCGTAAACCAGAATTCAACATTCCGGAAACAGACGTTCCATTGCTTACGAGTTGTTCGACGTAGGATTGGAATTTGACATCGATTCTATGCGCATTGAATCGATCCTAGCGACGATTTTTAGTGCTGGGCCCAATTTGATGCTCATAGCAGACATGAGATGGTCTTCTTTTAACAGCATGAGAGCTTGACCATCGATCTCTTGGATAGCGAAGTCCTCCGCATAATCCGAGCATCCAGGTAGACCACGTATAAAATCGCATACTTCACCCACCTGCATAATAAACACATAATTTCTTTGATAATTTTGCTCGTGTTTAAGATATATCTCTTCATTTATATATAATAAAATTTTATTTACCGTCCATTTAATCGGGTTTACTTTCGGCAGTGATTCGTCAGCAGAGGAAGCAATAGTCGTAGACAACGTCTTTTCCTCGCCATTCTTCTTTGCCATGTCATTGTCGATAGTTTTATTAGTTTCAGTCTCAATTTCAGTCCATTGTTTCTCCATACCATCGCGATCTCGTGTTTCGCGCTTTTTGCTGTGAGTAAGGTGTAACATATTTTTTATTTTAAAATTTTTTAATTTACAAATGTAATTTGAGAATATTTGATTGATATACGCTATCAATATAAAAAACACACTTACTTCTTTGCACATGCTGATGAACAAAATCGCTTTTCTTTCTTGAATTTGACGTTCTGTTCGTCAATCGTGTTGCCGCAGCTTTCACACTTGTTGACTTGCACGCTGGCTCCATCTTCTTCATTTGTATAATTAGGAGCATGTTTTTTCCCTATAATTCAGATTTTGTTTTTGACTGATCTTGAAATGCAATATTAGCAAATCATTAGAATAGTTCACTTACTTGGAGGTTCCTCATGAGACTCCCTTTCCATATTTGTGTTATTCCGATTGAGAATGTTGGTAGTTTCCTGACTCACCGCAAATGGTTCTGATGCTATAATACAAAGATGGAAAAAAAACAAACATTTAAATTAAAATTAATAGGAGCGTAAAGAGCCACAATGCTAGTTCTTCGTGCAAAGGTTAAGATATTCGTTAAAATTGTTTACATCAAATCAAACGTTTCAGCCTGCCATCAGGCCTTCTTCAGTGTACATTAATAATAATATAAATAAAAAGAAAAATTCGCTCGCAAAATTCTAAAAACATTTACATCTCGTATTGTGCGATATAAAAATAAAATTTAATATGAATTATATAATAACATCAATGTTATGTATACATAATGTAATTATACCTTCTTGTATTACAAATCCTTCAATCACATGTGTAAGGACCTGTGGTTTCACCATGGCTTTAGGTGGCGCTTGTTTACTGTTTGCTGTTATTGGCGTAGAAGTGATTGGCATAGATGGTGATTCATCGCCAACTACACCATTCGTAATCGCGTTCACTGTATTGGCAAGCCCCGCTAACGGATTGTTGCATTGTTTTTCCTCACTTTTCGGAACGGTTACTTCATCCTCTTTTACGATTGCTGTTTTACATTGTTCTCCATCTGTGCGGATAAATATTGGTAAAACATTTCCATCTTAAAAAATTTAATGAGAAATAGGTCAAGAGCTAAGACTAGATATATGTCAATATTTCTTTTACGTACACGATCATGTGAATAAAACAAATATAACATCTAGTCTTAGCTCTTGGGTCGTTTCTCATGTCGTTAAATTTTTAAATTGTGACAGCTTTTTATAATTTATTTCTATCTTTATCTCACGCAATTAAATTTGATGAATTTATTTATTAATAAAAGGAGATTGATCGGTAGTACCTATTACTTCCGACTGAGATGCCGCCGCGACTTCTTCCGTAGTGGCAGATGCGTCTTCTTTCTTCGAAGCTAACTTGCCACTGTCGTCAGTCGTCACTGGAGGATTTGTCGTAGACGGTAGTATCAGAGAGCACTCGGTCTGTGAATTACGATCTGGCGACGTAATCATTATCGCAGAGTTGGTATTATCGTGCGATTGCTGATCCTGCGTCGCATTTACGATCGGCATCGCCTGAACCTGCGATGCTCCGCTTACTATTTGATTGCCTATTATAGTTGGATTAATAGTCTGTGACAAGAAAAGAATATGTTTATTAATCTTAATTGCGTATCTTTACCTGTATTACTCAAAAGATTCCTATATTATCACAAAAAGACAAAAAAGACAAAAAAAAAATTAAAAAAATGTTTATCTTACTCCATATATAGGATAGGAAAGGCACTGAGTGTTAACAGGCACCTTCCGGCATATAGTGGTCAATACCGGTATAGGAAGCTGTTGCATTGTAGGCATTGAAGATTGTGGTACTTGATTCATTTGGGAGGTAGCGGCGACTCCGATTCCAACTCCACCTACTGATACTATTGGCATAATAGGACGATCTGTACCAAGGACAACTCCACCCTGTTGTTGTTGTTGCAGCGTCATATTAGCTGCAGAACAAAAATTTAAATACTGTTAAACTGTCATTTTCGCATTTAAATGTCGTATAAATATTATTCGTGAATAAATATTCTTACTCATGATAGCTTTAGGTTGTATTTGAGAGGACTGCACTTGTTGCTGGTACTGCTGTTGAAGTTGCTGTTGTTGCTGCGTGTGCTGCTTTTGCTGTATAAAGACCTGTTGATGCTGTATGGATTGTTGAGCTTGCTGCTGCTGTTGTTGTTGCTGCGGTTGTTGTTGAGGAGATTGAATCGGCTTTCCACGACCTTTTCCACTACCACCACCCCCTTTGCCACTCTAGATGTATCGATAAATAAAAATATTATCATGTGATAATCTTTCATTAACATTCCTTTTACTATACATTAACTATTTATGCTGATAAATATACAATCATTCGTTAATGCAAAAATTACAAAGGCGACATATAAATGAGCATAATTCAGCGTTTAATCGTTGCCATAACACTTGAGATATTCGTGATGAAATATCGCGTGCTAATATTAGTATAGTAACCTGTGCTTGTACCGTGGCTTGTACTCCGTGAACCGTTTGCGTGGAAACGGAACTGGCGGCGCGTATATTGGCGGCTTGCAAGGACGAAGGCAGAATATTTAACGGCCGCTGTCCACCTACACCCGGTTTATTTTGCTGGGGCTGTTGTTGTTGTATATCCATTACCTTGGTAGGTTTTCCGCTAGTTGTAGCAATCTGCTGTACACCTTGTATTTGTTGTTGCGTCGCTAAAGCTACTTTCACAGAATAAACACAAAATAATGTCAAATTTTTGAAATTATTTTCTGTGCAAATTTTCCTTTTATATATTGTAAAGATAGAAAATTACAAAAAATTATAAACTCAAAAAAATTTGTAAATTTTCAAAAATACTTTTACAAATATATAAAATACTAACCATTGTGCGCCTGTATTGGTTGTGGACTTTGTATAAACATGTCCTGTTGCGTAGGACCGCGAATAAATATCTGATTGGGTGCGGCAGTGAGAAGAGCCGGTTGTTGTAACCCAGCGGTCCATACCTGAGGTGCGAACTGCCAAGGTGCAAACTGCATTCCGGCACCTCTACCGCCCGAAGGTGTCCCAGCAGTACACGTTGTATACTATTCAAAATATGACAAGTCGTATCAAAATATCGTAATTATATTATAAATGTACGTAATGTATGTAATGTATGTAATACGACAGTGTATTTTACAAATAAAAAATAAACATAAGATGACGCTTTAGTATAAAATAAAAGCGTCTTTACTAGGATCACCTTTTGCACCTGGTCTTGCTTATTCGCTGATTGTTGTTGCTGTTGCTGCTGTAGCGATGGTGGTGGTTGCGGAGAACCTAATACACCAAGCTGACCAAATACTAACGTTTGACCAGCACCAGGAGTTGAAGTCGGTACGGGTAAATAGCCAGCAGGAAAACCTTGAACTTTCGTACCACCTGCACCAGGATGACCACCACCTTGTCCGGGCGTTGATGCTGTAGTTAGCATATGAGGAGTAAGTTGAGCTGCAGATTGAAATGGCTTTCCAGCTGTTATCACCTAAAATAGACGTTTTTTATGTTTAAAACAACAACCAAAATTTAGTGCAGAAAAAATAGCGCATATTTATAGACTTTATTAAACTATCTTTAATAAAATTAATAAATTTGTATGAAAAAATAATCTTTCTAATATTATATTGTGTAAGATATTTTTTTTTAAGTTAATACAATAGTATCTTATTTCATGCATAAAATCTCTTTCTCTCTCAGAATAAAGACTTAAAAAAACTTAAATTATACCTGAATAGAAGAGGGATTTATGCCTGCTGGATGAAGTGCGAGATTTCCTGGCATTAACAAAGGTGTGCCTTGAGTATTGTATAGTTGTTGTAAGTGATAAGCTTGACTCTGAATTGGCTGTTGAATAACTTGAACTGCTTGCGGATGTGCAGCCATCGTAGTTATAGTAGTTGCACCTTGTTGACCAGATAATGTCATAGACACACCTCCTCCTACTCCTTGTTGCTGATGTTGCTGCATTGATACCGCAACACCCTGTAACTATTTTAATAACAAGACATAGAAAAATGTCGATGAATTATATAAAATAAAATATAATTAAGCATATGAATAATTACCTGTTGTTGGGGCATGCTTGCAGCTACCTGCGATTGTACTTGAACTTGAGTAGGAACAACATTGTGTGCTCCATTATTCTGTTGCTGCTGCTGTGACTGCTGCGTCTGTGATTGCTGTTGCTGCTGAACCTGCTGCTGTACTTGTTGTTGAACTTGCATTTGTTGTTGTGGTTGAACTTGCTGTTGCATTTGTTGCTGTGGCTGAACTTGTTGTTGTTGCACTTGTTGAGACTGCTGTTGGACCTGCTGAGATTGTTGTACATGCTGTTGTTGCTGTTGAACATTCTGCTGTTGCGGTAAGTCGTGAGTGATAATCATTTGTTGTTGAGATTGTTGTTGTGCCTGTGCCTGCTGAGATTGCTGTGATTGCTGCTGTGGTTGTGATTGAGATGATGGAATTCCAATTGTTTTAACATCTGTCATGTTTTCTTATGCCCTTGTAAAAATAATATACAAACTTTCACTCAGAAAAAAAGATATCTCTCGCCGACAATGTTCAACTGCGAAAGGCTCTTTTTCCTTGCCATTTCACATACATATTCATATTGTTCTCAATCTTTTCATTACGCAGCATCTGCAATAGATCATACAAATAAAAATGTTAGTTCTTGGATATCTGCATATTTTTTGTGAAATACATGTTTAAATAGATATTATTTGTTCAATCTAGAATTTATTCCATCTCTGCAAAAATTCTATTTTGCAATCATAATAAATATATGTAATACAATTATATTTATGCTACTGTTAAGTATTTAAATGTGCTTTTACTTTGTATGCTATTTTTTACATATCGATGAATACTGCAGATATCTATAATAAAATTTAAATCCAAAAAAACAAATGTAAAGTAGCCATTAATCATGCAATACATATACTCTTATCCCAATCTTCATAGGTATGGATATTGTCGATTTGAGCTTAATGAAATAGGTTATGATCGAAAAAACGGTTACGAAACTGTTGCCTGATTGGCTCTACCATAGACGAAATAAGTATAGATTGCTCACGTTATTCGAACAGTGTACAAAATTTGTAAAGAGAAAGAAAGCTTTGAATAGAGTTATTTCTTTCTCACATATACGCAACTTCGGTGTAAAATAGGAAATACACAATCTATACTTGTTATGTCTATGGTCTCTACTTTTACATCTACCAATCAGATATGTTTCATAAAAGTCGATTACTTAATCTTTGTTTTTTCCAGATGCAATTGTTATCGCCAGTAAAGTTATCGTGTTCGTGCTGGTGTATGGTGTGTAGTGCTACATTTTTTATAATTACGTTTTGTGGAGACTCTGCTTGAGTCTAAGAAAGTAAGTTTCTCAAAAATTATCGATGGCTTATATTCACCATACAAAACCACGCGCTATATACTGCGTAAATGCAGCGAATCAGTAGAATAAGCATATGGTCTTACCTGCTTAATATTGATTAATATGTGTAAGTTAATGAACAATGGATGCCTTATCATTCGTTTCAATAATGATTAATAAGATATTTTTGCATTTTTATCTTCATCTAGATTAAGTTACTGACAAAACACATTTGCTAGGTTATGTGATTATCATGGATATTCTATGCTATATCAGGACTAAATTGTACTTATACTAACGATTACATTAATGAAAAAATGATGAGAATTTTTACATAAAAATAACTTTCATACAATATTGTATCTGCATTTTGTGGAGCAATAATTATTTAGTATAAAATTTTGTTGTTGTCATGTGATAAGAATAATGCTGAGTATCTCACAACATTGGAGTATTTTAAAATATAAAGATATACAGCGGAAATAGTGATTTCATCATGTTTTTTCAAAAAAATACTGCAAAATGTTATAAAAATATTAACCTCTGTTTTGATAGCCTGAATATTTCTATTTAATGCATACTTTCATATAATTTATTCTATTTTCATCATTTTATTCCAATATTATTAAAGTGCTACTTTAAATTTTAAGTAATTTTAATACTAGAATTTTTTTAACATTGCACTTTTCTTCTTTTTATTTTCTTCAAAAGAATTTATTACAATTTACATATATTAAGTTTTGTTTGTAGAATTTATAAAGAAGTGCTATACAATGAATAGATTTAATATTCTATAATGTAAGTGTTAAATTTTATCTGCTTTGCTTTTTACAATTTAAAAACAAACAATTATCAAACACTCAACATTATTGCGAAATAAAAAATTAGTCAATTCTTACATATTCTTGCAAAATAATTAAGTGTGATATGAATACAAACTAAAAAAAAAGAAAAAAGAAAAAAGAAAAAAAAAGAAGAAAACCTATATGACGACTATTGACAAATTGTTAATATTGTCAATGTTTCATGTTCCAATTTTTCTCCAAAATTTAAATTTATCTCTTATACATGATGTATAAAACCAACTTAGCTTAATATTTTACTCATGGATTTTTTTATCAAGACCTTGCTTTTATCAGTGAAAACAAAAAAGATTGGGATGTAACGTATATTTATCATACTGTTCCAATATTTAAT